AAATAGTCAAAAGAACTTCTAACACTGCACGTAAAACTACGCCCATGTAGGTATTGCGATAGAATTTTCACCACTTTCTGAAAATTCAGCCTTTGAAAGCAATTTTACTGTTGGAAAAATCCCCTTCCAAATAATTTTTCGATGTTCGAGTCATGAATTTGATCAAATTCTTATAAATCATTGCTAATTTGTTATTTGGTAAGAATTTCATTGTTTCTGCTTGGAAGTGAAAATCAACTGATTCAAAAGACTGACTTGCTGAGAGAACTGTGGTCATTGAACTGATGTGTGTATGTGAAGTGATAACTGCACATTTCGGATTGTTGCGGATTCAATCATTAAACCATTCAAATTGAAGGATCAAAGAAGGTGGTCAAATGAAACAGACAATCGAAGTATTTCCCAAATTTTGGCTAACTCAGTCAGATCGTCATCAACTTCGAACAGGTCGTCGTTTCGCATTAATAAAATCGTTTTTTCACTTCATCAACTTGCCATACCGATTTACCGCATAATGAATGAATGATACAGTGAGGGACTAAATTTCAACTTTGAATTTCTCAGAGAGCCAAGAGAAAATTGTGTGTAAATTTTTTCGCACAGTTTTGGTTTGGTAATCGTCAGATTCGCCATCAATAATTTGTGTTAATCAGATGGAATATGCGTACGTTCCACGAAGTGATACGCAAATATTGAAAAATCTTTTTTTTTTGTTGAGGTCGGCCGTTTGGCAACAAATAATCCTTTTTAATTTCCTCCTAATTGAAATTACGGATTCATTCAGTTCATTCAGTTCACTAATTTTGTTCAAGAAGAAATTTTCAGAAAGTCGTCATTAAAAAATGAAGAAATTGAACAGATCGACTGCAGTGGAGTTTTGGTACGATATGAGCCGAAGTTGAGCGATTTGGTTCCCTCATTACCCTTCGCACCTGTACCTCCTCCTCCTCCTCCTCCTATTTGGTACAGTCCAATGCCATTTCCACAACCAGTTCCCATGTTTATGGCACCACAACTATGTGTACCTTATTCAAAATATCCTCATCTGACACCAGCTCGGGTTGGTGATCGATTATTTCCTCACCAATACAAGTTTACTGCTGAATTGACCGTATTGAGTGCAACAGAACTGTTTCGTCTTTGAATTCACTTCATTTGATAACAATAAGCTACCTACAGTTAGACTGATGAAAAAGATGTGCAAAAGCACATTGCTCAATTCAACAACCTTTCAACTGATCCATTCAGATTCATTTGATTTTGCCTCAGCGATCTTGAATCGGTTCTTGTATTCATTGACGTTACATTACTGTCGTATTCGAACTTTGCAATGAATTTCACTTGCAAAATCTCACTTTCACACATCAAGATGCCTAATGGTTTTAGTTTCAGAGAACTGTTCAGAAGCAAAAGACGAAGAAGAAGCAAGAGCATTCAGCTTGTGCGCAGATTTGTTGCGGTGGTATTGCACAACTTTTATGGACTATTATTAGCATTGTTCTTATGGGCATGATTGCAGCCCTTATTTTAGCATTGATTGTTATCTAAGTAAGTTTCGTTTCAGCAAACGAATAAGCTCATTTTATTCACATCCATCAGATTCTATCAAAATTTCTTCACTCATTTCATGTCGATCGTCCATTTTTGTTACCTAATGCAAATCATCACAGACTTGGAACATATGAACTCTCATCTAGAAGCATTTTCAATGAAACTCCATTCCATGATTCCTATCGGTGATAGTCGTCAGAAAATGACCTTTCAATGAAATCGATCCAGGTGGTGCAGAAATAATCGAAGTCAGTAGAATTAATCTATTTCTTATAGCTCATGTGATATTATCATCACTCTTAATGTGTGCCAATCAATTGTATACAACTGCCTCTTATTGTGACAATGAATTTACAGTTACTGATTACTTGCATAATCAGTGAGCAATTTCAAAGATTATGTTCATTAAAAAATATTTACAATTGCCTTGTGTTCATTAAAAAATATTCATAATTGTCTAAACCTAAGCCTATGCCCCCTCCCCCCCCCCCCCCCCCCNAATGTTCATAATTGTCTAAGCCTAAGCCTATGCCCCCTCCCACCCCCCCCCCTCCTTAGGGGGCAGAGAGCAAGGATGCTGATAAATTACTGCTACTAGCACTGACAATCTGAAATATAATGCCACTCGCAGAACTGCAATATTTTCATATTTTCTGACTGTTTTCGAAAGTAAGCGTTTGTGCCGATAACAAGTTTTTGAGCTTTTTTAATCCAGCAAAATTGAGACTTCAAAAATTTTTCTTTTTCTCAAGAAAAAAGTGGTCAAAACCCTGGAACTATGCATTATTCGCCAACAACACATTAATGTTGAGCTAGTACATCCAGCCGAGATTATACTTTTCATAGAAAATGTTCTCATCGCTTGATGAATTTGAAATGACAAACTGCCTTATATCTTACATATTTCATAGAAAATGTTCTCATCGCTTGATGAATTTGAAATGACAAACTGCCTTATATCTTACATAATAGTCGGTAATGCACATTCCATTCGCATTCGCATGTATAACAGTTTTATTTTATGAATCCATCTTGAGATAATAGAGAGAAAGAGTTACCTCCAATATGACGACAACAGAAAAATAAAACATTTTAAATTTACAACAAGAGCAGCACATCAAACCCGTTCACTATGATAAAAAGTGTAATTAGAGGTTTCCTGTAAACATTCAACTGATATGATTGTGTCGCTGAAGTAATTTTTGATTAGGAATCATTCGAAAATTTTTAAACTTTCGTCTCACAATTCCTAACAATCTGAGAAGCATGTGGTTCAACAGTGCTAAATGCTGAATAATATCAACAAAAACAAGCAGCAAATCAGTGACAACAAACAAAACAATAAAGGAATCTCATTTCGACATGCAAATTATGATCGACTTCTTGAAGTAACGCATCAATTACTGATAGTTTAGTAGGCCACTAATTTTATGACGTTGTAGTGCAATATCGGAAATTTCAGAATATCAAAAGAACAAATTTATAATAAGAGTGAACTCATTGAAGCTGAAAATTCTGATCTTTTACGGAAGCTGCTGATATGGTGGCGATTTCGAGACAATTTGGAATTTCAAAGAAAAATGAATACAAACAACTCAAACAGCAGAAAGTTTACATTGCTGAAAAATATCGACGACGAATGATTCTACAGATTCGCTGAAAGGACGATTCAATAAGGAGGCTGCTGGTGCACTGCAAATCTCATGTCTTCAAACAGAAAATGACTAGTCACAATGAATAGTGAAAGTTCAGATCGAAACTGATCTCAGAAAGTAACTTGAATCAAAGACTGTAACTCAGAGATGAACAACATCAAAGCAAAGTCGAATTGAAGACGGTGGTGGAAACACAAAATTGATGGAATTGATCGTTTTTAGTGCAATATATCGATAACGGACAACGAACAAGCAATAATCAGACGACATATTTATGTATGTATGTATGTATGCATGAAACAATCACTTAATTATTGCTCGAATAAACCTCTTTACAAACACAAATATCACATCGAATACTTCAAAACATTTCGCTTTTCATCGAATGTCGACAAACGAAGAAACAAAATTTGAGCGAATTTAATAATATTGTGCAATACATAATATAATGATTGTGATGTGGCAAGTAGAATCAACTAATAAATGGCAATATAATTATGTATAAAATATCTCACTTCTTCAACATAGAATCTAAATAACTCGTATTAACGATTTGCATTCCTTCCTCAACATCTCAAGATGAATTCAGTTTTGCATATCGCATTCCATTGTTGGCTTCGCCTGTCGGCTGTTCCACAGCTTCCAGTTCAGCAGCCTGCCAATCAGCCGGTGCAAATGCAGGATTGTTCTCACCTCGGCCTAAACCACGGATTTGAACCTCATTACCGTAGCCAGGATTTTCGAACGCTACTGTTGGATCGCGATCCGAGAGTGGCTCACTACGCTGCCATTTGCGCATAATCACCGGTATTGTGTTCGTTCTCGAGACGTACATCACTCCAAAGATGATGCCAGCTGCTATCAACAACACAAACACTGCGGCCAAGAAGGCTCCGAATGAACTTCCAGATGAATCTGAAAAAATTTATATGTACTTTGGAGGATTTGCCTGTTAACAGGAATGCCAACGAATTCATTTGCCAAAGACGACGCCTGATCGGATGCACGTAAATTTGATCGCTCGCTGAATGATGATCTGATTTGACTGAATGAAGTAAAGATTGATCGATCTTACTTTCGTTCAAAATAAGATCGTTCAAAATGGCGCATTCGACAACTTAAAACAATAGGAAAGCGAATATCGAAAATTGAATATTTCAGATTGCAGACGGATATAAAGTGCATGAGCAACAGTTCTTAAAAACATTCATCACAGCGACTGTCAAAAACTACTGGGATGTGAATGATTGACGAGATTGTGTTCAAGAACTGATTCTACCATGTGTTCTGCTGAGAATCTTCGCCTCGACAAACGGCGAATGTCCAAGTGCATTAGCTGAAACAAGCGCGAGGTCGTAATTGGTGTTCGGGTCGAGATCGTTGATGATGATCTCATTTTCACTAGTCTTCATTATCTTATAGTCATCGTCGCTATCCTCAGGACGATAGTATACAGCGTAGATCTTATAAGAATCTGGATTGCTCTCGCTCCATTGAAGCTGAAAATTGCACAAAAAATGATTTCAAAACGGTAAATAAAATCCTTTTGCATCGTCACAACACTATTAATTAATACTTGGACATCGAGTGGTTGTTTCGTCAATCGCAGTGAGCGATCGGCGGAATATTTATTTTATTAGAGTAATGATTATTTATTGNCACGGAAACGCGAGCATTGTGGCCAGCAACGTTATAAACGGTTGACAGCCTGGTCGATCCAGGTAATCCAGGTAAATAAGATCCGTTAATTCATAAATGAATAACAGTCAAAAAAAGAGAATGCGCTCTATAAATGAACACAACCTTGACGGTGCTCGGAGTGAGATTTTCGTAGTGAACTGATCCTGGTGGAGACGGGGCGCTCTCGTGTCCACGAATCATACAGGCGACTGCCTTTGCAGCATACCTTGAGCACAATGCCTCGTTTCGCACTTTACCACCATTACACAATCCCAAGCACTCAGTCGGGATTCTAGCTCGCATACAGCAAATTCTATGATCACGACCATCCGCAGCACAACCGAGCAACTCTAAAACATACAATCAATCACTAACTCTTCAGGTATCTCATCAATACACATGATTGCCTGTTTACCGAGATTTCAACACACATCTCTTTGATATAAGCATGTGATTCAAGAGTAGATCGTGCGAGACATGCCGTCATGCTCCTGGCGATTCCTTAGATGAAAAATTCCCGTTTGATATATAAAATCCGTATATTCAGAAAATTTCAAGGCAAAATAATCCTCCATTGCTGTAAGCGGCAGAAAAACTCTCTTGGAGTTATTTTTCGGCAGATTTTCGAAGCGATCAATCGACACTCAGTGACAAATGCAAGCAAGTAACAAATTCAAAGCGATGGAATCGAAATAGAATGGAGAACTATCACGAGGAATCGCTGAACGCACGAATTCGTTCAAGGAGAGCACCGTTACAAGGATAAAGAAAAAAGTGAATTTACCTTTAGAAAATCGCGAACAATCCTCGTCCACCTGTGGACTTACCGAACAAATTTTCAAGCAGTTATCAGTTATTTTCGCATCCACACAACACTGAAATGAGCGAACCTCATGTATTAAGTAATGGTATGCCTAGAATCATTTATATTTTAATACGATTGGACAATTGATTGCTTTTTGAATGGTTAATTGCAGATATAAATAAA